GCCAGAGTTGAAGGGCTAAAGAGGAGAGCCTTTGGGGAAGTTGGTATAGTCCTGGATTACAAGATGGTGACGCCCTACACAGACGTGCACAGTTGTCCAACTCAGTGGTTTCTATTGCAACTAAACAACATCTCAGTATGAAGGGCCCCTACGTGAAGACATAGCAATGAAGAATGCCCAAGTGCCTCAGAAGCACACAAGCGAGAAGGTCCACAACTTTCTCCTGGAATAAGAACCTGGCATTCACAAAAGCGACATGGGTAAACTCCAGCATTTCATGCAGCAGGCTTGTAACAGAAACAAGTGAGCGTCAGACAGGTACCTCAAAGGGCAACAACTGCATAAAACATGGACACACCTCTCGATACAACCTCCAGTGAGGAAAGCCGACTTTATCTGTCATATGACTTTGTTATGGAAAGGCAGACCCAAATTATAATGGTGAGGAGAGTCTTGTGGATAAAGATCTAAGCAAGTGCAGGAAGGTCATTTCAAACAAGAGCACTGAGACTTTGGAGGGAAGGAGGCTGTGGTGGGGCCGTGGGATGCATTCTGCAGCCTTCTCTTGAGTGCTCATAGATAGATGATTATTTATAAGTCACACATACAGTTTGATTTTTTTTCACAAGATTAAAGCTTTAAAATAACAACTAAGGGGCATTGATGTGTGTCTAAGAATCCATGACTGTGCTTTTATGAGTGTCCTCTGGGAATTTATGGCTGGACAAAGCCGCGCAGATGCATGTATCAGTGAGTAATGGGTTGGTCCTGGCTATTCTGGAAAAAAAAGGGATGAGAATTAATAACAGAAAAAACTATTAGTCAACACTATGTCTTAATTACCTGTCTCCTGCAATTCAGGGCTGGAAAATCAATTGCAAAAATCCCATATTAATGGGGCTTGGGGGGAAGGCCTTTCTGATGTGTCACAAGGCCCTTATGAGACATTGAATAGATGCTAGAACTATACTATTGGCCTTTCCAGCACCCAGAGCTGTGAGCTACATAAACTTCTATTTGTGTGTGTATGTGTGTGTGCGTGTGTGCACAGACACACACACACATGGGCATGTGTGCATGTCAGTCCCAGAGCTTGAATTAAGGGCCTGGATGCCGCCCCTGAGCTTTCATGCTCAAGGTTAGCACGCTAGCATTTGAGCCACAGCTTCATTTCCAGTTGTGTGTGTGTGTGTGTGTGTTTATTGGACATAAGACTCTCACAGACTTTCCTGCCCAGGCTGGCATTGAACAATGATCCTCAGATCTCAGCCTCCTGAGTAGCTAGGATTGCAGGCATGAGCCACTGGGGTCTGGTAATAAATCTCTATTCTTTATAAATTGCTCAGTCTGTGGTATGCCCTGACAACAGAAAGTGGACTAAGGTTAAAAACACTGAAGTTAAGTGAAGAGTTAGGGGGAAAAAAGCCTAGAATCAGCCAAATTAGTTGAAATCAATACTCCAGGAGATTGAATTTGAGATGCAGATAAATATGCAAATAAGAAAATGACACTTAAATGTAATAGAAAGATATTCGTTTAATTTACATGATTCATGTTTCACCGATGCTTTAAAACCACGACCCTCTGTAATGTGGTGACTGGTGTGGCATCTGGCTCTCTGTGAGCTGCCCCGCCCAGACAGGTTCCACGATTTCACACAGCAGCTTGCAGCTCAGTCATCTCACTAGTGGTGTGCTTCTTTTTTTGTTTTTTATTGTGAAAATGGTTGTGCTTCTTTTATGGGCGGCTTTCCCCAGCCCCCTGCCCTGGCTCCTGCCCCACCCCAGGACAGAAGCTGGACAGAAGCTTCCCTGGGCCCATGTGGCTTGCTGGGAAAGGCATCTGAGACCATGGACAGACTGTCCTCCTCTCTCTGCAATCTGGCATCTTTATTGCAGATGATCAGTCAAGGGCTGCAAGCGCCAGGGACTACATGCCTTCACAGTTGTGGTAGCAATGGAGGGGCTCCTCAAGCTCAAGAACAGGGCTCTTCGCAAACACACAGCGCGGGGCCTCTCCCGAACGCTGGTGCCCGGCCGCCCGGCCCTGTGCTCCTGAAGCAGAACCAGCCGCTGGCCAGCACCCCGATCATCCATCCCACACAGCCGGGGTGCCCAGCCCCCGTGGGGAACAGGGACACCACCCTGCCTGCCTCCAGCTCTCCGTTTGATGTGGAATATGTAGTTGGACCACAGGGAAATCCTACCTCATGGGGAACAGACTTCTAAGGCTCTGGCAGGAGGCAGCTGGGGGAGTAGAGAGGCTGAGGCCCCAGCACAGCCAGAGGTGGACTTTCAGAATGTCCCTCTGAGGATCATGGGCGCCTACCTCAGAGTTTATTGCAAGGAGCGAGTAAGAAGGATGGGCAAGACTGGGGCTATTGGGCGACATGGAGCCATGGTCTAACAGAGAAGCAGTCAGGTGAGGCTGTGGAGCTGCCACACACCCCAAGAAGAAGACCCAGCAGGAGGAGAAGGGGGAGGAGGGGGAGGAGGAGGCCAGGCAGCAGGAGGAAGAGGAAGAGCAGAAGAAGAAAGGGGAGGAAGGGGAGGAGGAAGAGGCAAAGGGGGAGGAGGAGAGGCAGTGGCAGCAGGTGAATTAGAGCAGGGGGAGGAGGGGGAGAGCAGAGTGGACGTGTGCAGTGAGGGGTGGGGGCTGCGTCCTCTCCGGCCCCTCCGTTCTTCCACCTGAGGCGCGCAGGCTATCCTGACAGGGGAGCGGCTGGCCAGTCAGGCCTGTGTCTGCGAGCAAGGCTCCCAAGACAGAGGCGCTCCGCCTCCAGCGCCCGCAAGCAGGGTTTCCCTGGAAACCGGCTCCGCCCGCGCCCACCCTCCACCAAAGCGCAGGTGGCTTCCTAATCCGCCTGCGCTGCTAGAAGTGCGGGGGAGCAAGCTAGCCGCCAGGTGGCCGTGGGCTGGACTGGACCCCACGCGCCCGTGAAGCTTCCTGGTGAGGGCCCCCCCACACACACCGGTGGCTCCTCCCCACGGGGGGGGGGCCCTGTGCGTGCCCGGCCGGATCCTGCGGTGACAGTACGCAGGCGCATTCTCCAGTCTCCCTCCCCTTCCCTCTCCTCTCTCCCTCCCTCCCTCCGGGCAGTGGGCTCAGCCGCCACCCCGCGCCACCCTGCAGTTCCCACGATGGGTGCAGTGAGCCCCCACCGGGAGCTGCGGGCGAGGGCGGGGCTCGCGCCCTTCGCTTGCTGGCTTGCTGCCCAGGAAATCTCCTGCCTGGTCAGGAGAGCAGACTCCTCCCCTCCGGCTCCTCTGCCCCCGCACACCCCACACAGCACCCGCCCTCGCACACCCGCAGAGCGCTCACTGCACAGGCGCACACCCGCAGAGCGCTCACTGCACAGGCGCACACCCCCAGGGCGCACAGCACATGCTCACATCCCCAGAGCGCACAGCACAGGCCCCATACCCTCAGAGCGCTCACTGCACAGGTGCACACCCCCAGAGCGCACACCACTGCACCGCTTACATCCCCAGAGCGCACAGCACAGGCGCACACCCGCAGAGCGCACACTGCAATGTGCACACCCGCAGAGCGCACAGCACACGCGCACACCCACAGAGCGCACAGCACAGGTGCACACCCACAGAGCACTCACTGCAATGTGCACACCCGCAGAGGGCTCACTGCACAGACGCACACCCGCAGAGCGCTCACTGCAATGCACACACCCGCAGAGCGCACAGCACAGGCACACACCCCCTAAGCGCACAGCACAGGCACACACCCGCAGAGCGCACACTGCAATGTGCACACCCCCAGAGCGCACAGCACAGGCACACACCCGCAGAGCGCACAGCACAGGCGCACACCCGCAGAGCGCACACTGCAATGTGCACACCCCCAGAGCGCATAGCACAGGCGCACACCCGCAGAGCGCACAGCACAGGCGCACACCCGCAGAGCGCACAGCACAGGCGCACACCCGCAGAGCGCACACTGCAATGTGCACACCCCCAGAGCGCATAGCACAGGCACACACCCGCAGAGCGCACAGCACAGGCGCACACCCGCAGAGCGCACAGCACAGGCGCACACCCGCAGAGCGCACACTGCAATGTGCACACCCCCAGAGCGCATAGCACAGGCGCACACCCGCAGAGCGCACAGCACACCCCCTCACACCACAACCCCCACCGTGCATACCACACGCCTCGCACACCACGCACCGAAAGACAACGCCAACTCTGCACGCAGCACACGCCCTTCTACACACACTGCACACACGCGTGTCCCAGAGACGCTGCACGCAGCCCGTCCTGCACTTGGTAGATACATCACACACATCACGCCCCTCACACCCGCACGCATGCACGCACGCGCGCCAGCGGCTTCCAGAGACCGAGACCCCCCTCCCGGCCCGGCCCGCGCCGCGCCCCCTCCGCCCGCGGAGACTCACCCTGCCCCGCGCCACGGGCGCGCTCTCCGGCCGGCCCTCGGGCCGCCCCGGCGCGGCCGCCGGGAGGGCGTGGAGGCCTCGCGCGGCCGGGTTGGCCGCACCGCGAGGTGGCGGCGCCGGGGGTGGGGCTCGAGGGTCCGGGAGGAGGGGGCCCCGGCGGCGGGAGCCCGGGGCGCGCTGGCCGGCGGGGCCGCGGCGAGGGGCGCCTTGCCCCGGGGAGAGCGGAGGGGCGTCCCGGGGACGGCGGCGGTCGGGGGCCGCGCGGGCGGCGCCAGGGCGAGGCGCGCGGGGCCGCGAGCGGGCGGGGGAGCCGCGCGTCCGGGCCGCGGCGCCGCGGGCTGGGGAGGGGGCGCGCGCGCCCTGCGGTCCTCCGCGCCGCCCGGGTTCCCGGCGCGGGGTCGCGGCGGCGGCGGCGAGCGGCGGAGGATGCGGGCTCTAGCGGCGGCGGCGCGGGCCCGGGAGGACGCGGGAGGATGAGGAGGAGGCCGGCGGTCCGGCCGCGCGGCGCCGGGAGGAGGCGCAGGCGGCGGGGGCGGCGGCGGGCGGCGGCGGGCGCGCGGGGCGCGGGCCGGCTCGGGCGCGGAGGATGAAGTGGAGCGTCCGCGGGGCCTGCGCCGCGCTCGCCTCCTGCCTGCTGCTCGCCTGCGCGCTCAGCGCCGCCGCCGTGGGCCTCAAGTGCTTCTCGCTGGGCTCGGAGCTGCGCGGGGAGCCGTTCCGGCTGGGGGCGGCCGCCGGCGCCTTCTACTCGGGGCTGCTGCTGGCCGCCGGCCTCTCGCTCCTCGGCGCCGCCCTCCTGTGCTGCGGACCCCGGGAGGCGCCCCTCGCCGGGCCCCCCGGGCCGGAGGCCGGGCCGGGGCTCGGGGTCCCCGCGGCTCCCGCGGGCGCTCCGGAGGCCCCGCCGAGCGAGGCGGGGCCGGCGGCCGGGCCCCCGGGACCGGTCAACAGTCAGAACCTGCTGCTGCTGGGCGTCCTGGTCTTCATGCTCGGGGTCCTGAGCGCCTTCGCGGGCGCGGTGATCGACGGCGACACCGTGTCCCTGGTGGAACGCAAGTACTCCCACTACTGCCTGCCGTCGCGCTCGCCGGCGGCGGCGGCGCCCGGCTCGGCCGCGGGTCCCGGCCCCGGCCCCGGCCCCGGCGCGCCGCGCCCCCGCGGCGCCCTGGACAGCGCCACCTCCGCCAAGTGCCGCCAGCTGAAGGACTACCAGCGCGGCCTGGTGCTCTCCACGGTCTTCAACTCGCTCGAGTGCCTGCTGGGCCTGCTCAGCCTCCTGCTGGTCAAGAACTACAAGTCGTCCCAGGCCCGGCGCGGCCGGCGCGGCCGGCGGCGGGCGGGGCGCGGCCCGGCGCGGGCCCGAGCCGGCCCCGGGCTCCGCGCGCAGCCGACCGCCTCCCGGGCGCGGCGGGGCCGGCGGGGCCGGCGGGGCCGGCGCCTGCAGCCGCGGCCGAGCGAGGCCTCCATCCTGGCCCCGGAGGAGTCCGACTTCTCCGCGCCCGGGGACTGCGCGGGCTTCGCCTCGCTCCACGCCGTGTCCTACATCAACGTGGGCGTCTTCCACGCGTTCGACGAGGCGGGCGTGGAGGTGTGCTGCGGCGGGCACCCGTCGGTGGAACTGCCGGGGTACGCGCCCTCGGACCCGGATCTCAACGCCTCCTACCCGTACTGCTGCCGGCCGCCGTGCGAGGCCGCGGCGCGGCCCTGGGAGCCGAGCCGGGCCTGCTGAGCCGGCCCCGCCCGCGGGACCCCGCGGGGCCCCCAGGCCCGCTCCCCGAGCGCGCGGCGCCGCGCCGCGCTCCAGCGTCCTCCCTTCCGTGTCGGGCGGTTTCTCTGGCCTGTGTTGTGCGTACCAGAACCCATTTAAAGTTTACAATGCGTGTGTGGGGTGGGCTGGCGACCGCAGCTGGCCCCGGGCCCGGCCGGCCGCGCGGGGCCTCCGCCGAGGGGGCGAGGAGCCGAGGAACGGAAGCCACCCGACAGCGAGACTCTGTCCACGGATGTGCCTGCTTCTGTCCACACTTTCTTACTGTAAAGCGCGACATACAGTGAAAAATGTTTGGTAAATTTATTGCAATTTGACATTGGTGAGTTCCTTTATTAAATCAACTGCTGTGCTCTTGGAGAATTCCATCCACTTGGGAACAGAGTGTGTCCACACCCCATCAGCACGGGGAGAGGGCTGAAGTGGGTCGGACAGGTGTTGCGTTTGAGCAGCTGTGTTCTGCCTAGCTGATCGGCGTAGCCCGGCCTGTCTCCGAGCTGGCTTGCTGTGTGTGCCGACACTGATGCCAGACCCCTGCATTTCTGTTTCTGGAAACCGGCTGTGTGGTTTCTACTGCAAGGCAGTAGAATTTATTTTTGGTTAATACATATGAACAATCGAATCCTATTTTGGAAAATCACAGTCATAGTTTTTCTGCAAAGATAATTTTTCTGTTAAATCATTGATCTGGTAATTTTGAATCTTATAGCATTTCATTTAACATATACCCTTAAATAGCCTTAATGAATGTGAAGGATATACTTTCAAATGACTAGGATATGTGTGTGTGTGTGCATATTAACACACAATATGAAATGAGTTACATATGAATGCAGTGTGTTTTCATCCTTCTGTGGGTTGGTGGGGAGCAGGCTCTAAGTCTTGGAAAACGCTGATCGACTTCCACGTACCCAGGGTGATGGTACCCGATGTAGCTGCTGACCGACCAGGTAGGAGCCGAGTCCTGCCCTCGGTGGAAAGTCATGGGCCCCTGCAAGTGCAAGAAGCCATGGAAAAGCTGGGCCCTGGCTCAAGCCTGTAATCCTAGCTACCCACGGGGCTGCGATCTAAAGACCAGCTTGGGCAGGAAAGTCCATGAGACTCTTATCCTTTATTAATCACAAAAGTCAGATGTGGAGCTGTACCTCAAGTGATAAAGTGCCAGCCTTGAGTGAAAAAAAGCTCAGGGACAGTGCCCAGATCCTGAGTTCAGTCCCTAAGACCAGAAAAAAAAGGAAAAAAGAAAAATTCTGGGTTTCATCTTCAGTGATCAGGAAGCTGCTTCTGTTAAATAAAAATAAAAAGTGCATCGATGTTTCCCAGGTACAGGCTCTGGGATGGGACTTTTCCTCCATGACGGGAGCACTGGCAAGAGATAACAGCCCTACTGTGTGCCCGGCATCTGACCTTGCTGCCTGCTGCAGCAGAGTCTGAGAAGAGAAGGCCACAGCCTATTTTCATGAAGAAAGGTGAGACCTATCACCAGTCAACGGGCTAATCTATGGTGAGGCAAACCCATCCCATTGATGCTTGAGCAATTCCTGTGTAACTTGGGGACTTGATCAAAGAGGCCATGAACCCAGTCCTGGCGGTAAAGGTAATCACTATGGCTAGTGTACTTTGTTGCTCTTGCCTGCAAGGCATCTTAGGCCTTTGCTGTCCTGGAGTAGTGGGAGACTTACTAGGGTCCTATTGATGCTCTTTTTCACCTAGAAGTCCTGTCTTAAGACAGCAGCATTTTGGCCATCAGACTAATCAGAAATGTTGTAGTAGCAGCACAAAGTGACTTAAAGGACTTTTCCTCCTCTACCTAATTAAGACAACTTAAGTATGCCCAAGTTTTTAGGCAATGGCCTAACAGGGGGCCTCAGGGCCAGCCTCCAGAGGCTTCCTAGTAGAGGCACCCAGAGTTGTCTGATGGGTGAGCAAGGGAGGCTCTCTGTGAAGTGTGTGTGTGTGTGTGTGCGCGTGCGTGCACAGCTGCCTGGACAGAACAGAACCCATGGAGGCAGGGATGCTCTAAATCAATACTCCTTGGAACCCTTTTGTTTTCTTGCGCACCTCATGCAGCTCAAAATGTCAGATGCTTTATGAGTCCTTCAGATTTGCACTCACAGTCAATGGTGCTATGAAGCTTTAGGCTTTTTTAAGTGGGAACAGAAACTTCCCGAAATGTGGTGCAACAGGTTGGATGGGCAGAGCGTATGCCATCTGTGCACAGTATTGGCTGGAGCAGAGGAAGGATCTAGGGTGTGTGGGGAAGGGGCTTTTTCCTAGTCTTGTGTGAGCAGCTTTTTCCATGTGAACTAAATGGGTCATTTCAGTATTTGATGTTCTCAACTCCAAAATCATTCTAAGTTCCACATTACAGAGATGGATATTAACAGTGGGATTCCAAAATTTCACTTCTTAATAATTACTAGAGGGGCTGGGAAGGTGGCTCAGTGGTAGAGCGCTTGCCTTGCATGCCTGAGGCCCTGGGTTCGATTCCTCAGCACCACAGAAGCAAAAAGAAAAAAGCCGGAAGTGGCGCTGTGGCTCAAGTGGTAGAGCGTTAGCCTTGAGCTGAAGAGCTGAGGGACAGCGCCCAGGCCCAGAGTTCAGGCCCTGCGACCGGACCCCAAAAAAAAAAAAAAAACTTACCAGAGAAATTAGAATCCCTGTCTGTAAATTGACCAGTAGATGAAGGAACTAGGAGGACTGTGTGGGCATCAGCCTTCCCTTCCAACCAGAGAGCTCCCTGTCACCCCTCACTCACATTCTCCTCAGGTTGAGGCTGTAGTCAGCAGCTCAGAACTACTTCTTTAGCTACCTGGAAATCAAGGTACTCTTTGTCTTTCAAGAGGATTTTGTGCTTCTGCCAGAATTTTTATGACAAGACACCAGAACCAGATACGCGTAGTAGCATTTTTAATGTAGCTAAACTCTGAGTTGTTAAGTAATTATTTTTACATGAAGGTACAATTTGTTTTTGTTGTTGTTGTTTTTTTGCAGCTGCTGAATTGCTTATTGTTGCTGCTGCCCTGGGGGCTCCAGTTTCTTCTGTTTCTTTTTGGGGGTGCCTTTCTGACTCTCTGGTTCATTCTCTGCCTTTGCTCTTTTGCTTGGGCCTAGAAGCACTTCTGATGCCCCTCCCCCCTTGGGTCCTTTCTTAGGTAGGATAAGTCTTGGGAGGGGGGAACAAGGGGGGGGATGGGCCTGGGTCCTGCCCCCTCCAGGTCCTCATTCCCTCATAGTCCTGATTCCATGGTGGGTGCAGTCATGGTTGGCCTCATCTGTAAGTCTGTCTTAGCGCTGGGCCTTTTTCCTCTCTAAGTTCTGGAACTTGTCACCAGTTTTCTCTCGTGCCCACCAGGGCTGGGGCGGTTGGTGTTAGCAGCTGCTTGTCCTTGGTGCAACCTTTCCGGCCTCCACCAGCCACACAGGGATGGCCCGGGCTCTACAGGTTGTACTCATCCAAGCTGGCCTCTTCGTCCTCAGGGCTCAGGGGCTGCCCAGGGAAGCTGTCTGCTGGTGGCAAGGGGGCCATGGTGCCTGGTCTCCTCTCACCGGGTGCTCTCCAAGTTTTGTTTTGTCTGGCTTTCACTTCAGGTACAATTTGTTTTAAGGGAGCAATTTACTAAGGATAAGTTATGATCCTATGTATGGAGCAGTAGAATTGCCAAATAAGCCATGTTTTCTTAGGATCAATGAACCCTCTAATAGCTGGGCTGTGGATGGGAAGGACTGAGAGGGAAGGGCTCCTAACCAGGCTGGATATCTGGCAACTTGCAGAACATATCCCTAAGGGAAGGAGAGGGATAGGCTGGCAGACTGGGATGCTGGGGAATGCTGGGGGGGGGGGGGGGCGTTGCAGGCTGAGGGCAGGCAGCACTGGAAGGCCACTCAGAGTGGCATGGGTTGAGCAGGAAAGGTTAGGGTTGGCACTTAGGCAGCCCCAGCCTCTGAGGCAGGCCTGTGTCTCTTTTGCTCTGTATGAGCAGAACTGGCCACATGCATGCTAAGTTATTCTCTGTCAGGAGCAAGCAAACTGCGACATTGCACTGACGGCTTGTACCTGTAATCCTAGCTAATCAGGAAGCTGAGATTCAGGGACTGCTTTGAAGATAGACCAGGTAGAAAAGTCTGCAAAACTCCATCTCCAAAATAACCAGCAAAAATTTGGGCTTGAGGTGTGGCTCAAGTAGTAGAGTGCCAGCCAAGCAAGTAAACAAGCTAATAAGGTGCAAGGCCATAAATTTAAACCCTAGTTCCATCAAAAATAAAGTAAAAAAAATAAAGAGACAACCTAGAGATAGTGATTCTAGTCGTGTAATCCTAGCGACTTGAGGGGCGAGATGGAAGACTAACGTCGCAGGCAGTCCCATCATTTTAAAGAAGTTCCCAGAACTCTACCTCGCCTAGTGGCTGAGCGTGGTGTTCTGTGGAGGGAAGTGTGATGGCGGCCGCAGTGGTGACTGCACTGTCACCCCAGAGATGCAGGGAAGCAGTCCAGGCCAGCCTGGAAATAAAGTGAGACTCTACTTTGGAAACAACACAAATGGGGCAAGAAGTGTGGTTCAAGTGGTAGAGCGTCTGCCTGATCACGAGTCTCTGATTTCAGTCTCTAGTACTGCAAAACAAACAAACAAAAACACCAGAAACAAAACCAAAATCAAGACAGCAGTAGGATGTTCACAAGGACCTGTGTGACCCGCACAGTAAGCTGCAGGGGGAGGTGGCTTGGATAACATGCAGTGGTGGGCAGTCTCGGGCAGTGGGGGGCAGGAGGTGGGGTGTGGGTGCGCAGATGTCTGGCGCTAGGGGGCATGTGGCCAGACGTACAACAGCCCCCTGACCCTCGGTTTCCTTGTCTATGGACTGGCTACCCATGGTCAAGTGCAGTCTGAAATGCTAAATGTAAAACTCCAAAAGATGGAATCTGTAAGTTTTAAATTATGTTCCTTTCTTAGTAGCATGATGAA